TACACTAAAAATTGGTCACAAATATTTATGAGGCTAAAGATGAAAAAATACACTGTTCACGAAATATATGATGTATACATATTCACAAAGAAAAGTGCCAATATCTACGTAGATTATACAATATTTTGATTTGATTTAATAATTTGGTGATTAACAGTGTCATAATCAATATATTCATATATATCGGATTTGTCATCATTTTTTTGTAATGAATTTTTATTTTCCAATGGATCTTGTGAATAGATATGATCAGAATTTTGTACGTTTTTAATTGTATGTTTTGAAGGCGATTTCTCATTACTGCTTGCTGATGATAAATCAAATTTTAAATTCACATCGGTTTCATCACTATTTTCTGATGAATCAAATTTCACAGGTTTTGTTCGTTTTGACATGAAAGAATTAAATGTTTCAGTTAAATAACGAATACGACGATCATTACGACTAAAGAAATGATTTGATAGCAAAGAAAAATTTGTTTTCAATTAATTACCGTCTGTATAGTAAGAAGGCACAGAGAATAATGACAAGAATACTAGACAGAAGAACAACAAGTAAAAGTAAACCAGTATTGTCTAAAATACATAATAAATTTAGTAATTTGTATTATAAAAATTTGATTTCACTTACTACTTCGTTGGTTATCTATTTTAAGTGCTGAGATTTTTTCTTGAATGATAATTGTTGAATCTTCATTGGCAAACGTTTCTATGATTGTAGTTGTCGTTTTTGTTGTTGATGGTCGAGAACGGCGAACTGATGTAACTAAAAGTTTAATTTATGTGTAATAGTGATGATCGTTAATGATACTTAACACTTATTAAGTATTTCAGATAAACATAAAGTGAGATATCCAATCACCCATATGTCTTTTGATAGAACTCAACAAAAAAGAAAATTTCTTTAATATATATCTCTAATCGCAGCGGACGTGAGTTACACAGTTAACAATTCAAATGAAACATAATCTAATAGTTGTATGGGAATTACCAAATTCTTTTTTTCTTTTTTATTTATATCGTTGACTGGCATACTCACCGTTGTCTCTTAGGAAACATTATTAATGGAGATTATAGTGCTAAAATCGTGATTTAAATTTTAATAGTCGATTTAAAAGGAGAAAATAACTTCCATTCGCTTTATCTGATCAGTGAGTGGAGTATACTCTAGTATAGTACTCTACTAGGCTCTACGAACATTAGCTATTCTTTATCTTAATATACGTATAACAAAATTATTTTACCAATGAAGTAAAGTAAAAATCCATTATATGATTGTTTTGTATTAGCCATATTAGATTTAAATAATAATGAAGCTTCAATAACATCATCAAATAAAAGAGTATATGGCGGACGTGTATCATAGAATTTCTCTCCATTATCATTGATTTCTAACCAATCATTAAGTTTTACTGTATTTGTAGAACGAATGACACTAACACTTTCAACATTAAAATCAACTGCAAAAATTTTTAATCTAATGAAAAATAATTACTCATATTCGAGCATAATAACTCAATTAAATAACTCACCGATGACCAGCTTCTGGTTCGGGTACTTTCTTTAAACATGATAAATTATTCGGATAAGTATCTGGATAATTTGGCGTATGAATAAAACCTTCTTTGATCTCGTCAAGAGATTGTAATGAACAAATATCAATACGAGGTAATTTACTTGAGTAGAAATCTAAACGAATTTTTCATGATTTTAATAAAAATAGAAGAAACTATTTATCTCTTAGTTTTACCAGGAATACATGAATATTCAATATTTATACTTTGACCTTTAAATGCACAATTTGCTTGTTTTCCAACAAAAAAAGCTGGACGTTGATCCGCATTATTATCTATAGTACATCTAGATTTTCCATTACATTGCGTACTTGCTTGTTCACGATAATAACCAATACAACGAGCTGGTGGATAAATTGAAGTACCGTTTGATTGTTCATTTACATCTGGACATTTTGATGAATAAGTTACTTCAAGAATGACCATTTTTCTTGACGAAGGACATGTTAATGTTACAGATGTTTCACATGTATAACCTGATTGTAATGCGTCTAAAAAAAGCAAATCTCAAAAATTAAATAACTTTTTCTAATACAAAACAAAAAAGAAAACTTACGTGAATAATATAATAGATTAAATACAATAAAAAGACAGAAATGCGTCGGAATCATCTTATCTAAAATAAATAATAGTTCCCGAAAAAAAAAACACAACAATGGATCAATTCTTTAAATATAATTGCTCATGAAGTACATTATGAATTGAATTCGGAGAGAAAAAGAATTGATTACAGATCTTTCTAATATACTAAAGAATAAAAAAGGGGTTATTGTATTCTGTGTTTACATTGCTCGATATTCTTATCTAGTACCACTTACTTATAAAACTCTTCCTAACTGTAAATGAAAGAGAGTAGAGTAGTTCTTTAGTTAGAGTATAGTATGAACGAATGTTTGAAGCGTCTTATCTCGTACTCTTTTTTTTTGAAATACTATTGATAAAAAAACTAACGATAAGAGGTATAGAGAAGATCACTTTGTTTAAAATAAACTTCAAGAACTCGGCTGTATAGAATGTACTCCTTTTACGGTCAAGATCATCGAGATGAAAAAGAAAGCGAAATAAAAAATGAGAATTTTTTTTTTTTTTAATATTACAAATAACAGGCAACTAAGGTTATCATCAACATCTATTGAATGTTTAAATATGACTCAGTTAGGATTTTATGTTTATATATATATATATATTTTGTCTGATAAAAATCAGTAGAGATCCATATAAAACAGCAAAGAAATACGAAAAACAAACGATTGAAGTACTAAATCAAGAAAGAATAAAATTCACACATGTATACAACATTATGACCAGACAAAAATACATTACTTCAAAAAAAAGAAAGAAAGAAAAAAAGAAAAAAAAGACTTTCTACAAAATGAAAAAAATACAATTAACTATTGTATAATGAACAATAATGTAAAATATCTGTAAGAATTCGTCCAATATTTCGATCAACTACATTTGACATAGATAAATTTAATATTCTATCTTCAAATTTTTTCATTATTTTTATATTCTCAGTATAATTAACTATTGATAATAGACAAGTTGCTGCACGTTTTAACATATCATTTGTTGTAAATAATATTTGTTCAGCTTGTGGAGTATTTGTTAAACGTAAAAGATAATCCGAACCATAACGTGTATTTAATTCATTTGTTTTCATTTCATAATCTTCTAGAAAATTTATTATTAATGATATTGCATATGGAACATGTGCAATAATATTAGCAATATTTGAATCACATCGTATTAAAGCATTTAATAGAACAATAGCAAATTCACGTTGTATATATGTTTGTGATCGAGTTAAATTTGTTAGATTATTATTATTCATATCATCCACATTTAACCAATTAGTTAAAGTATGTAATAAAGATATGATACGATGAAATGGTGGTGTTGCTAAAATAAAATCCATATTCATATCATGTACACTTAATTTAGTTAAAATTTCAATTGATAAACGTTGAGCAGAAAGATATGAAGATTGTAAAGGATCAATAGCTTCATCAGAATAACATGTTGACCAATGTAATAGACCATCAATTAATTGATTTATTAAATCCGAATCAAATGTATCGAAAATAAGTACACCGGAAATATTGGCTAATGTGACTAGGGTATTTTCGCGAATATTTATTACACATTCAGACCAAGAAAATGATGGTGAAGCATTTTGATCTTCATTCTAGATGTAAAAAAGAAAGAAATGATGAAATTCATTTTTTATATAGACAATTCAACTAAAGGATATTCGAGTTGCTGGAAAAAGATCGTCCACACCCACACTCACCCCATACCCACATCTACACCCACCCACACTCACACCCAGACCCAGATCCGCACTCACCACACACCCACACCCTAATCCTGGTACTTTCAATTTCTAGATTTTTTGACATGAAAAAAAATTTTAAAATTACCTTTAATTGACAATTATTTATTGTTTGATCATTCAATGATTCTTTCATTTGTTTATCTGACAGAAGTATATTTTCATTATTATAATTAATATCATGCCTGAGTAATAAAACACGAGCTAATACATGAATTAATGTTTTATATTTAACTAATTCAATATCATTGCCTGATATAAAACTAAGATTTCGTAATATTGATGATGCACATATACAACGAGAACATATTTGATCATAACCAAATGAATATCGAGTAAATATTGATAATGCATTTTCCTGTTGATTATTAGAATTAGTATGAGAATCGATATTTATATTATTAAATGAATGTTCTTCAGGTTGAAATGTTCGTTGATAACGTTGAAGAAATTCTTCATTATCATTATTATTATTATTATTATTTGAGATTTCTATTTCACATGTTTTAATACGTTTTCGTGATGATTTTATTGGTACTTGATCATGTTCATCAGATGATAATGTATCATCAGAATGATGACCATAATAAAGATTTTCATAATAATTATCATCTATATGTAATGGATCAAAATGTGTTTGAATATAACATAAATCATCTAAGTTTTGAAGATTTAAAACCTATAAATAGAAATTAAACATACTATAGTTATATGAAAAATATAAATTAATAGCAAGAAGTCACTCATAATCTTTTGGCTTTAAAAGTTATGATTGACTTTCTTAATTGAAAAGAATAAAATATAAAACTATGAATTCTTATCATTTATCTATGAGTAATTCCAATTATCGTATGTAAATTATTAATAGTTTGAAAATCTAAAAAAATACATACATAATCTGGTGTATCTTTTATTTTTCCTTGATTATCATAAACATGTTCATAAGTAACATCCTGTTGTTTTATAGATTTTCGTTGATATTTATTTAAATAATTTGATTCAATTCGATAAATGACAGAATCTTGTTTTTCTTCATTTTCAAGTTCTTCTTTTGAATTTGATTCATTGTCAATTTTAAATTCATCAAATAATTGTGTTAAACATTTCGTATATATATCAATGATTGCTTGTAATAAACCAGGCATTTGTTTTAAACGAAAAAATGTATGTGTTTGATCATCATTTAACATAATATTAATTGTGTCTAATGCCCAAGTAGTTTCAGCAAGTAAACCACCACGTAGTGACATTAGTAATTTCATTGGATCAATTGGTGCTAGAAATGAAAGGTATATTATATTTGTACAACAAAAATCAAATGATAATAATACATACGAATGTCTTTAGCGGTTAATTTTTTTCGTTTATTTTTTGCTGAAATAGTTGTTGCTTCAATAGAATTTGATGGAAACGAAACGGCCATTGGTCTTGATTGTAATTTAGGTGGTTCTTCAGATCTTTGTGGGAGATAATTAATTGGAGTAGGCACTTGTTGAGATTGAGTATTAATACTACAAAGGAAAAATTGATAATTTTTTGATATTTAAAATACATCGTAGAAATTTAACAATGATTAATTATTTGGATGGATTTATAAGAAACTGTGAAAAATTTCGTATTTTCATATAATATTAATATGTCCTGTAATCTTAGATATAAGTCTTCTAGACTATCAGTAATAATTAGAAAAATTCTTGAATTTCACTAAAATATTGATAATGAGTGTACTGAAATATGAACAGTGAAGTTCACTGACTATACTTATCAGTATTCATTGCAATACTAAAGCTTACTGATTTACAAACACTCACATATATATCAAAGTTCTATTAAAATATATGAAAGTAAATTATTTTTTTCTATTTTACCTTGGTATAAGCGGAGTCATATTTAAATTGGACGGATGAGAATCATTCTCAGTTTGTTTAATTGATGATGATGATGATGATTCAGTAAATGATTTTCCTAATTTTTCATCATTATTCTTATTGAAACGTTTTTCTTTTGGTTTTGTAATATCTGCTAAAATTGGTTCAGGATCAATTCCACTTCGATCATGTTTGCATTCATAATGAAATAATTTTAAATTAATATATTTTTGTTTAATATTAAATGCAGCTGTTGAACAATTTGGAATGTTTAATTTTAATGCAATATCACGCCAATGACGATTTTTAGCTATTTTTGAAAATTGTTCGAAACCATTTTGTTCACGTATTAAACTGTATAAACGATATAGATCAATTGTTTGTCGAGAAAGTGTTGGTAATTTTCGACAGACTGTATGAGTTTCTTCCCATAATTTTTGTAAACGATCAACAAATAAATTTCGTTCTTGTTCATTACCCATTTCACGTAATTTATTAAATACGTCTACTGAAGTTGTTTGAGAATTTTTTGTTTTTTTTGTACTTTTTTCATTTGTTATTGATGGACTATCAGAAAATGAAGAATTACTTGAATCAATATCATCGGGAATATTAGATGATATGCTTGTACAGCTTGGAGATTCAGGTATATTTGGTTTTGTTTTAATCGAATTATTATCATCATCTTGAGAACGATTTTCATTTGTTGATGATGATGATGACATATATGTTTGTGAACGAGTATAATTTGACTCAGACTCTGTACTACCAGCAGAAATAACAGGTGGCCAAGTTGATTGTGATGATGGTGCATTTGAATAAGATGGATAACGTACTTGTTGTTGAGGATAAGATTGAACTTTGTTTGGTATCATGCCATTTTGATATGATGATCGATTCGGTGTTGGGAAACGAGAATTCATCATGGCAGGATTACCAAAAGAATATTGAGATGCACTGTTGTTACCATATAGATCACCTATTATGTTAGAAAAAAGAAGGTTAAATTTTATTTCCATAACAGAAAAATATTTTGAATTGAAGAAAAATATTTTAATAACGAACCTTGTGGTTGTTGTCTTGATAATGGTATCATAGAAGAATTATTATAACCAACATTTCCTAAAATAAATATTAATGGTAAAATTTTTTTTTTTCGAAAAAAAATAGATTACGTTGAAATGTTTGTGTCATTGGCATGATTGCATTACTATTCTGATGATCATTCAAAGGTATCATAGCATTCTAAAATTTATCGATTATTTACAAATAAATCAATAATCAATAATATAATATTTACTAATTCATTGATTGATGATGATAAACCACTATCTTTTGGTGGATATGATAATGACTGAAGAGAAGAAAAGCATAATTTATATAAATTTTTCGGTATGTAGTTTTATATAAAAAAATGACTACCTCAGCATGATTATCACCATAATTTATTCCCATTGGTCGTTGTTGATGTTCATAACCACTGGAGTATGATGGATAGTAACCACGTGACTGTGTCTCATATGCATCATAAGATGGAAACTAAATATTTTTATTAGATTTATTTTGTATAAAATAAACTTACTGTTTGATGCGAAGATGACGAAGGCGATGCATACAATTGATGCTGATGATTTGTCATTGGAGATTGTGATGGTGGTCTATTATAGAAATGTGAACCTGCCATTGAATTTGATGGCATCATTTGTTGAGATCGAGTATTATGATTTGAATAAAAATGATCTGATGATTCGTATGACATATTTATTAGAAATTTAGGACAAACATTTGATTGCTAAGAGTTAAAAGGACTTCAAGGATAAAAATGTCCTTATTACATCTAAAAATAAATATGATTCAATACTGTTGAGTTATATTTATAATAAATATCAGTAAATCATTGTTTTTATAGATTCTATTTATAAAATAGCAAGTAAATTATGAAAGAAAATAATGAATATAGCAATGATCTTGAACATTTTTACATAGAACGAAGTTAGTATTTTTGATTAAGCAGCCATAATGAATGTATTGAACCTCCATTCATGTTACAGATTTGAATGGTCAATTTCTTTTTTAACTAAAATAACTATTCTATTAAAAAGTATTATTCGAATTTAAAGTAAAATAATTCATTTTTTTCAATTACATAAAAACAAGAAGTTTTTTTTTTGATTGGTGCATTGATCTCCAATCAAATAATACTTTCTATGTAGTCGTAATAGTACTCTGAAGAGAATAACATTGTTCCTATAAGAATATATATATATATCAATGACTTGAGTAAAAATAATTGAATTAGTATATTATGTTTATATAATAAATTGAAACTAATTAAAAACAGTTTAACTCATCATTTATACATTAAACATCCATTATTGGTTGAGAGAAGCAAAGAAAAGTATCATAGAATTCTAAGGAAGATTCTGTATATAGCCATACGCAAAAAATAACATTGTGCTAGAGATATGATTTATCCTATAAGATGATTGGAATACATCTTGTCATTATAGAAGCATTTATATTTTAAATTAAGAATCTTAGTTTTGAATTTCATTTTCTAGAGACCAAGAATACATAGTGATTTGCTCTAAAATGAAAATAAGTTATATTCAAATGTTTGTATGTTCATACCAATCTACAAAAACGATTTTTTGGATGCGTTTCCTTTCTTAGCGGAATGGAATCTTTATTTAAATCATATTAAAATTAAACTATAGTTTAGACTTCAATTCATTCTTGAAAAAATAGACCATCTTTTACTATCAGACAGTGGCGGACCCAGGAGATTTTGAAGAGGGGTACGGTGGATGATATGAAAATCTAGAAAACTATACGTGTTTAACCGATTTTAACCGAAAATAATCGCAAAAATCAAAACTTCATTGATTAATTTCGATAATAATGGATTGAAACTCGATAAAAAAGATATGATGATAATTAATAAAAAATAAAAAAATTTAGTCAAAGATTTTTCCTTTATCTTGAAGAAAAATAAATTCAAATTGATACTTTTCCCAAATTTTTTAGTCGCTTATAATTTAAATTAATTAAAACAACCGCTGAAGTTTTTATTTTCTCGATTAAAATCGGTTGTAAATTGATTTTCATCTAATGTTTACCCTAATTTTTTTACAGGGATTACTAACGAAGCCAGATGAAGAGAGATCTTTAAGCTTTTCACTGACATCATTTCATTACGTTTTAAACATGAATTACAAATCCTCACTTTATAATCAATGGGACAAACAGCTCAAATGAATGAGTGACATAAAGACTGACTGCTCAATATGTGAAATAATGAGCCCAAGTGAACTAATAGCATAGTTGTCCAGTAATCCAGTGTTACTAGATAATACTCGTCAACCTTATCCCAAGGAAACAGGTCACATCACAAAAGAAAAATATTTTTGATATATGAACTACAATACTATTCATAGGCGGATCGCAAGAGGGCAATTGCCATACTAAAAGAAAAGTAAATATAATATTCGTTTATGCATATAGTCAAGAATTATTGAATGAAATAGAACTTCAAGATTTACCAAAATATTATTCAACTAGCTATGATGATTTAAAAGCTAAACAACGACTTTACCAAACTAAGATAACGACCAGAAGGTGATTTTATTAGACGCAACTAAATTCATTCTGAAAACCAATCTCCACATAGCATTATCATTTATGAATGAATCACATAAAATTCTTTGGACTATACCAGTGAATTCATATGAATGTGAACGAAGTTTCTCGTCGTTAAGAAGATTAAAAACTTATTTAACAAATAGTATAGGACAAGAAAAATTGTCAGACGTTGTTCTTTTGAACATAGAAAAAGATTTTGAAATTAATACATATAAAATAGAAGAAAAATGATTTTTTAAAATAAATACTTTTTTATTTACTTCATGCTAAGAGTAGAAAAAACTAAACGAATAAATTACGTTAGAAGAAAGACAGCTTCGTTTGTAGCATGAATGTAGGTAGTAGTTGCGTAGCAGAGATGGGCGGGACAAAGGATTTTTCTGACCCGTCCCGTCGTCTCTTATCAAAACTTTTTATCAATTTATTTTAAAAACGATAAAGATTTACGTAGTATTTCACTGTTAATTTTCTTTTACTATTTATTTTTAAATAAATGTATTAAATAATTAAAAAAAACTAATTTGAAAAAAATTTGGTTCATAGAAAAATAACCATTTAATAATATTAATCGAACGAATAAAATATTATCTACTTACGATGGGGAAAAATTAGTTCGACGCTTGGTTTCAACCTGACCTTATATAAGAGCTGTAGACAAAGCAAATATACAGCATAGTTCTCGAATATTCTTTCTTTCACTTAGTGCAAGTTCATTGTTATTAAAGCAAAGAAAGACTTATGCTCTTTCTTTTTGTAGAACAGTTACGAATATATACCTAGTATAGGTTTCATGTGGTTGATAAGGATAAAAGCGATCATATATTGGAAATAAGGAATAGTGAATAAGATCATTCAAATATTCTTTAGGAGATACCGTTACTAACAATATTTAGCGTTTTTTTTTGTAAATAAGTCACTGGAGTATATAAATTGAATGAATATTGATCGCGGGACAATTTCGTATAAAGTTTTATCCCGTTGTCCCGCTGATCTCTGTTGCGTAGTATTTTCAGAACTTTGAAAGCAGTTTATTTTTATCATAGTAAGGTATTAGAGCTTATTCCCATACCTATCGTTGAACCGTTGGCTCGCCTATGTGTCTTGAGATAGTCGGAAATGGCTGAAATTAGTCCAAACAGTCTTAGAATTGCTGGGTATTGCCAAGAATATTCTGGAATACACTAGAATGATGATATGAGTGACAGGTTAATTTATCACCTACACCGATCTATTCGTCAGGAAAAGCATGGTTCTACATATAGAATTCAAGTTTTCTTTCAGAAATAAGAGATGAACAATGTCCTAAAGGTCATAAGGTGTCTTTAGTAAGAACATACATGAGTTCCACATTTTTAGCCCCAATGGAACTCCTCTGACAAGCTTTTTTCATTTAAATTATTTTATCTATGTTCGTAATATTGATTTTTACTCAAAAAACTCAATTTTAATTTGCTGTAGTTTTCTCATTGATTCATTAATCTCAGCCATGATAATTTTTTGTGGCACTCTCTTCACTTAATAATCAGACTCGAAAGCCAAGCCAAAACAGTTAATGTAGTTGTTACAGGTGGCTTTGAAGAAAACATTATTTATTGTTATGCAAATCGTCTAAATAAACTGAATAGTTTTGTATATATCAAATGCTATTTGATTATGATATACAATTTTATTTAAATAAGCAGATACTTATATGATTTGTTAAACAAGCAAAAAAGAAAACTATTGAAACAAGCAAGATAATTATAAAGAAGAGTGAATTGACAAAAAGCTACGTGTGTATAAATCAATTGTAGTGTACACTATTGGATATAATATGTCCTTTTTTCTATAAAGCTTAAAGGTAAATTCCAAGGAGATAAAATGTCATAACTAATAGTTTAAAAAAGAAAATTTAATGAATATGAAGTTTATCTGTAGTATCTTAGAGTTTCATAAATTTTTGTACGCGAGCATTCGATGAATCACCAATATACATATTCATTGCTGAATCAAATGCAATACCTCGTGGATAATTTAATTGTATTGCACCGTTACCCGCAGAACCATTACCGGCAATTGTAATACCAATAGTAGTATTAGCACAGAACAACTGTACTCTATGGTTATTATAATCAACCACATACATATTCATATAATTGTCAATCCTAATTCCCATCGGACCATTTAAGTGAGTTGAATCAGAACCTGATACACCTGGCACACCAGCAACGAAAGTGCCTGATGAAGCACCAGGAGTCCAACGTATAACTGAATGTCCACCAACATTTGTTATAAATAGATCATTACTTATAGATGGTAAATAATAAATACCCCATGGATTGTTTAACGATGTATTCGTGTTGTTAGGTCCAGCTCCACCAGCTGCAAGAGTTCCATTAGTACCTGAAGTTGAACTTGTCGAATAACGTATAACTCGATGATTGTTATCATCAGCAATATACATATATGTTACTGTTGGATCAAAAATAAGATATCGTGGATAAGCTAATTGATTTAACGCAGATCCAGTTGATGAATTTATACCGGCAATAGTGACGCCAACGTTTGATCCACTACTAAATTTCTGTATTCGTTGGTTGCTAGAATCACTTACATATATATTTCCAGATCTATCAACATAAACATCATTAGGATAATTTAGTTGGGTACTGCTCGATCCTTGTGAGCCAGAAGTTCCTGCTACAATTGTTGGATTTGCAGCATTTTTCAATAGTTTCCATACAACAAAATTGCTGTCCTCATCCACAGCATATAAAGTATCATTCGAGTCAATAAATACACCAGATGTTGCTATTGGTGATGTTACTGAACTAAGCACAGTAATACCAGTTTTATTCCAAAGTAAATTACCAAATATACCTAATAATGAAGAAAAATGAAAATAATGATTATTTATTCAAGATTTTATTATCATAATCTTGGTATCATCAAATCTATATTGACATCATTTTCTTGTTAATATATTCATCTGCTCGTTTATTTTAGCTTTTGCTTTCTTTCCTTTATTTATGATGATTATAATAGCGGATAAATAGAACGATATTCTTATAACCTTATGTGATATCATTGTGTTTTCATATAAACATCAATTCAGTTTATATATGTGTACACTACTCT